TAGAGTCATGTTCTTTTTAGTGGAAAATTATAGTTTTAAATGAATACCTGGGTTCTAAGTGTGTTCTTGTGAATGGATTGGCACTACTTTTTTACTCTAGGAATGACCAGAACTAGAGAATACACATATGTAAAGTGTGGTGAGTATTATAAATATGCACAATATACATTTTTGTGTGTGTGTATATATATATATATATATATATATATATATATATATATATTCATATGCTTTTGAACTTATATTTATTTGTGTATATATAGAGTATATATTAAATGTGTGATATATATGGTAATATACATTATTTTTAAAAATATTGAAAAATCACAAGTTTATGTGATGCATTCAATTCCAGTCCAACACTGTAGGCTTTTTATTTTAAAAGACAAGATGAAAATTATTTAGTTTAAGGATTGGAAATAATCCCTTCCTTTGAACTATGTCACTCTGTTGTATTAGTCATGATGATTTTCCTCTTCGGTATAAAGAGAGGAATTCTTGGGACCAGCAGATGGCATAATGGTTGCGTCGCTGGACTCCTGTGTAGTCAACCACAGTTCAAATCCTGTACCTGATTGCTTAAAACTCACACGGGGCATGTGTGCATGCATGCCCAATATACCGAGAGGAGAATAGCGGAGAAGAAACTGCAGCATGGCTATCCTCTCTTGGGGGTGATTTCTCACTTTCTATCTCTCTGTCTCTCTGGCAAGTGCACACACCCTTAGCAAAAATCTCTCTTTCCAAAGAGAGAGAGAGAGAAAGAGAGAGAGAAGTTCCTGAATTCGTTTAAGCATTTATCTGACAGGATATTACTTTCTTCAGAATTGACACATGTAGCTTTTTTTTTTTGTCCTCATTGCAGGTTACCCGGTTTGAGGTTCTCCTGATACTCAAGTTTTCTCCCTTTCCATAGTTTTAACTCCCTTCTCTGGAGGGAAAAAACACACAGTTGTTAAGGGGTTAATAAAAAGTCAGTTTAAATGTAAAATATTTTTTTGTAAAGTCTTAGTTAACACTCCGAAAGAATTAACAGATCAGTATGCTGTAATAATTCTGAACCAGGCTCTTACCTTGTTGTGACCTTCTCCCCTCAGCCTCCAAACTGGGACTAAAGGCTCACTACAGGCGTGCCTGAGTACACCCAGCTCTTCCAGAGAGGGTCTCATGGTGTTGCTCAGGTCATCCTCAGCTCACCATCCCTTGCCTCAGCCTCCCTGGTCACACCCTAGTAGACTGCAGGCACATTACTGACACTTTGGGTTGGACTGGGAATTGAACCTGGACCTCCCATGTGGTCCCAGCCTGCAGAGCACAGCATCTTAGCAGCATGTACCATCATGGCTGGGCCCATAATAATTTAAAACTTTGATCAAATTTCATTTTAACAGCTACCACTTGTCGTATAGGTAGCTGTACCCAGGTGTCTCCTCTCTGAGAAAGTATGAGCTCTATGAGGACCCCATCCATGTTTTAGCAAGCCTGACATATCAACAGTACTTCATGTGGGTTTGATGAACTGAGGGGACATCCAGAGCAGACAAAGCTTGTGTTTGCTCCCCCAGAAGCTGGACTCTGACTGAGGAAGTAAATATTCACTCATTTATTCATTCTTTCAGTTAGAGATAGAGAAGAATGTAGGGAAGAAGAGCGTGGAACCCTGGACAGGAAAAGGTCAGCGTTGGAGTGGCTAGATACTGCACTAGTGTTCCAGGGCTGCTGTGATGATGTGCTTTACTGAGTGGCTAAGCAATAGAAAGTTATTGTCTCACAGTTGTAGAGTCTAGAAGTTTCCAATCAAGGTATCAGAATGGTTGTTTCCCTTTGAGGCTATGAGGGAAGGATCTGTTCCAGGGCTCTGTCCTTGGCTTGTAAATGGTCATCTTCTCTTTGTGTCTCTTCACAAGTCTATATATGTCTGTGTCTAAACTTCATCTTCTTATAAGGACACCAGTTATTGGATTAGGGCCAACCCTAATGATTGCATTTTAACTTGATTACCTCTGTAACAACCTTATCTCCAAGTACGATCACATGTTGGAGATCAGGACTTCAACATAAGAGTTTTGAGGAGACATAATTCAGCCTATAACAGATGGACTGCAATGTTCAGCTTTAAAAGCTCACCCCATGGCTCAGTCACTATAGTGCTTGTAGGGCACTGCTGTGCAGTCTTGGAGTCATATAGGAAGGCCCGGGTTTGGATCCCAGGCTGACCTGAACATGTCAGGTGCATCTGCAAGTATGCCAGTGATCTGGCTAGCAGGAAGGTGTGGAGTGGATCGTGGAGTGGTGAGACCCTGTCAGGGTTGCCTTTCTCTGTCTCTCTCTCTCTCTGTCAGGAAATTAATATAAAGAAAACTTAAAAAAAAAAAAGTATTCCTTGATGTTATACTCACTCACCAATTGCAGCTGTCAAATTGTGGGCTCCTTAAAGAAATGCAAACATCCCAAGTAACTGTTTAACCTTTTGTAGACAACTTCTCATTTTCCCAAGAGGAAAAATGACCTGAAATTCCTGCTAGTCTACCTCTGCTGGACTTCCCTAAACAAAAGCAAAAGTGATCACCGGGATCCACTGCCTTCATAATTTTCTCTCTGGTTTCTTTGTGTTCCCTTTGAGGACAGAAGTCTGACTGCTTTTTTTCTATTTTCTAAAAACTTTTTTAGCAGACTCGGAGGGAGTCATGCCCAGAAACATTAACAGACCATTTTGACCTATTGATAACAGGATTCTTCCTACATCTTGTTCCTGGTGTAGTATTTTTGAGATGTATATTAAGCCTCTTTATCTCTGTTAAAGTACATTTTTTTTTAGTCTTGGAAACTCCCTTTTCTAATCATCAACCTAAAAACTGTAAAACCCACATATAACCCACAAATCCCTACTTCCACATGTCCCACCTTTTTGGGCCAGACCAGTAGAAAAACGCTTCACTCCATTCTAATTTGTTTTGCTTTTTGGAGAGGTTTTTGCTATATTGCGCATGCACTTACCAGAAAGACAGAGACAGAGAGACAGAAAGCGAGAAATCACCTCCCAGGGGGATGGACACACTGCAATCCGCTGCAATCCCTTCTCCATCCTCCTCTTGGGATCTTGGCCACTCACACACACGAGCCCAGTGTCAGCTTAAGCCACCGGGTCTGGGACTCAACCGTGGTTGACTACATGGGAGTCCAGAGACATAGCCCTTGGTCCATTTGCTGGTCCCACTAAACTCTAAACCTTGTCTTTTATTCTCAAAATCAAATAAAAGGAAACTCTGTACTTGATTACCCCAAGAAAGGCATGTTTTGTCTCCTCTCTGGCCTACGTCATTCATATTCTACTTAGAAATAAACAATGTTAATTATTATTTTTACAGAGTTGGTTATTTCCCTCAACAAGATGGCGACCAAAAAAGCACCGGAGACAAACCAGAGATCTTCCCTGAGGGGTCACTGAAAACCCAGTGCCTGGTATCACCAGCACAGTGAGTCTTTTGTGTCCTCTCCGGCTACAAGCATCTCCTCAGGGGAGATTCAGTAAGTTCTCTGGCCCCAGACCTCCCCAAAATTTGGTAGATAGTCTGGTTTGTTTCTAAGCTGGTTTTTGTTTGTTTGTCTGTTTCTGGGTTACCCAAATTTGCTCCTCTCTAAGTGAGTGGCAATGGTTTGTTCTCCTCCAGAAAAAGGGGTAGCGGTTTGTTCCCCTCCAAGCGAGAGGCAGTAGAGTTAGAGAACCTAATGTATGAGAGTACACTAATTATAAGAAGAAGGGGGAAAAAAAGGTGGGGTAGCGGTTTGTTCCCCTCCAAGCGAGAGGCAGTAGAGTTAGAGAACCTAATGTATGAGAGTACACTATAAGAAGGGGGAAAAAGGTGCATTCTAAAAGGTCTTCCTCCTTTGTCTTCTCAAAACTGCTTCAATTGGCTGCTGTGCATTTGCACTGAAAAACAAAAACAAAACCTGAGCTTCCCTATTCACAGACAAAGGAGAGACTGAGCCTCTCAGATTCAAAAATAAAGGACACTTGCTCCTCCCTGTGGGTAAACAGCCCAGATGACTGAAAGCCATACAGGGAGTGTCTGGATGAGGGGGAAGATCTCCTTTCCTTAGGACGAGTAGCCTAGCGGACCTCTAGGAAATCCCAAGTGCAATAATTAATAACAGGCTCCTCCAGTAAACACAAAATAAGAGCTGACCACTCAAGTGTTTTGGGCCCCCTTCACGGGTGCTAAATTATTTTAAAAAACTGAGAGACATGTAAGAGGAGTAATCTTGGCAGGAGAGTGACATTTAGTAGAGAAACACTGAAACAAACAAACAACAAACAAAAACACTAGTCTACCACATTCAGACCCTTAGATTTCCACAGGCTGGTTTCTCCTTAAAAAAAGAAAAAGATAAACCTGAAAAAGACAGCTACCGTTAACAAAGAGTAAAGAAGATGACCCCCTTTTAGACTCCACAGCTAGATCCATGTATAACAGCTAAGATGCCTTGATCTACAGGTATTTAGATAAATGGGAGGAACTTACAAAAAGTCATCCTAGTTAAAATTTTCTCAGGCAGGAGCTTCAATATTCCTAACGCAGTCTTTCTACACACTAAGTTTAAAAATTTGGATCTCATAGTAAAAGGAAAAAATACACATGCGATTGCTACTTTAATTGGTATTAATTTACAGAGCTGGTTATTTCCGGTGACACCTTCCTCTAGTCGATTGCTTCTCTGGACATTTACCCTTTGACTGTCTTGGCTAGTCCCTCCCCTTCTTTTTATGGCCCTGAGTTATCTTCTTTTTCCCTGTAAGTCTTATCCCTTTTTTTTCATGCTCTCCTTCAGTGAAGGACCAGGGAATTACAGGCAGAGCCACACTCTTTATTGGGTGATTCAAGTCACATCCTGTTCTATTACCTTCAAAAATCCTAAGAAATGAAGACCTCAGTCTGATAGGTCACTAGAGGAGGAATAATATAATTTTTGAATAGTTTCTGATCAAACTACTTACCTGAAGAAGAAGAGAAGTGAGCTGTTCTTCACCCGGAAGCGGATCTGTGATTTGGCTTCCCCATGGCTTCCTGCCGTGCCTATAACCTGAGAGTGCTGGTGGCCGTGGTCTGTGGGTTGCTGACTGCTGTGTTTTTGGGACTGAGCAGCTGGATTATTACGGTCAGGATCAAAGCAGGTAATGTCCTATATGCTTAACTCAGAGCAAGAAAAGGCATTGTCTTTGTCCCTGCCACCTGACACACAGTGTTGGGAAATGCCCAGCGGTGGCCAGATATGGCTGTATCTTTATGAGTGTGTATGTGTGAGCGTGAGTGAGAAGGTGCAGATGATATGGTTAACTTGGCCTCTTCACGCTCTTATCACTAGGGACTGAATTGATAGCAGAGTAATAATTAAAAGCATGCATGTTTGGATTTATTTAGCCAAATCCAAAAAAGGCAAATAGATATGATCTTATACACACATAAACATATTTTCCCCCTCTCTCCCTCTCTCTCTTGCACACACACACAGGATGGATTTTCAATGCAAGGAGGAAGTTTAGGAATGTTGTCACTATGTCTGCAGATAGAATGCTCTAGTGGTTTGCACATACAGAACAGTTTCACTTTCCAGGGGAAGTAAACTACTACAAAATGAAGATTATTTTTAAAATGATTCTCCTGGTTATTCAACAGATACCTGTTGGTACAAAAGGCTAGAGCAGACAAGGTAAAAAGGGATGGAGGATTTGAATGCCATGTAAATGGATTCACAGTTGGATGTCCTAAACACTTCCTTTTGTTAAAACCAGGGACAGTTTATGATGGAACTCAGAAAATAAGTGTAAGTAGTGCCAGCCTAAAGAAGCCGCAGGAGAGGTGCCTGTCTCTGACAGCCGCTGAGGGTGGAGGGTTGGTCGGTCCCTCGGAGGCAGCAGGAGCACAGGGCATGGCTGCAAAGCTCTTGTCGTTGAGGACTGCAGGAGCGGCAGCTGGGAATGGATCTGCTCCACCACACCAAAGAAATATCAATAGTGCTTAGAGAACTAAAATGGGAAAATTTACCAGAACAAAGATAATACGATTTAGACTTGGGGAAATAAGTTTTTGCTTAAAGTTTGTAAAATAGTTTAATTTAGGTTTTAAGCTACTAGAAACTACAGATTTTACCCTAATGCTGCTAAATTTGTAAGACCAAACTTAAAGAGTATCCTTTTCCTTTTCTTCCTTTCTTTCTCCTTTCCTGTATTTTTATTTTATTTTTTTTTTTTTGGAGAGGTTTTTGCTGTAGGGCATGTGTGCTCGCCAGAAAGAAGACAGAGAGAGACAGAGAGAGAGAAATCACCCCCCAGGGGGGATGGCCACGCCACAATCCCTTCTCCTCCATTCTCTTCTTGGGATCTTGGACACGCATGCTCGCATGCCTGGCATGAGTTTAAGCCACCGGGTCCAGGACTCGAACCATGGTCAACTGCATGGGAGTCCAGCGACATAGCCATTACACCAACTGCTGGTCCCAATTTTTGCTTTTATTTAAAAGATTTTTAAATGTAAATTTATTTATTATTATTATGATTTTTAAAGATATGCTATAGGACACATGTGCTCACCAAAGAGAGACAGAGAAAGAAGGAAAGTGAGAAAGGAAGCCATCAGGTTCAGGACTTGAACTGCAGTCAGCCATGTGGGAGTCCAGCACTTTAACCACCATGTCACCTGCTGGCCCTAGATGTCTGCTTTCAAAGGGAAATTTGTGGTGACTTACAATGAATTCATTTACAATGTAACCAAAAAAGGTATTTACAATAGAATCATTAATATAAGGATCAAAGTACAAAAACAACTGTAAGGGAGAGAGCAGAGTAGAGAACAGAAGGTATGCAAAATTGTCTTTCAACTTCCTGAGCACTACCTCCAGATAAGCATACTGCATAAAGAAGACCCCATGTGGAACAATAGAAGCAAACCAGCTCCTCAGAAAAGACAGGCATTTCCCTTGTTTTGAGCAGAACTTTTCAATGGGCGATTTATGTAAAGGACACCCCACAGGTTTTGGGTAAGCCAGTGGGAAAGGAAAAGGTTATTACTGTCAGTTAAAGAAAACAGTGGAAAGACTGGTATTGTTTGCTGTTACTATTTTTTTTTTTTCCAGAGAGAGTCAGAGAGACAGGAAGAGAGAGAACCCCTGGGGGGGGAATGGGCCTGCCACAATCCCTTCTTCTCTACCTCTTCCTCTTTTTGGGATTTTGGACATATTTCTCAAGCTGCTGTGTCTGGGCCTTGAACCTTGTGGTCAGCCACGTGGGACCCAATTCCTAAACTACCGTGCTACAGAGCAGGTCCTTGCCATGTGAGTTTTACTCAGAGTGGATTTTAGTTAGTTATTGTCTCACTCTGCTCTTCTTTTTTTTTTTTTTTGAGAGGTTTTCACTATAGGGCGCATGTGCTCGCCAGACAGACAGAGAGAGAGACAGAGAGACAGAAAGTGAGAAATCACCCCCCGGGGGGGATGGCCACGCCGCAATCCCTTCTCTTCCATTCTTCTCTCGGGATCTTGGGCACGCACGCACACGTGCCCGGCGTGAGTTTTAAGCCACCAGGCCTGGGACGCGAACCACGGTCGACTACGTGGGAGTCTAGCGACATAGCCACTACACTAATTGCTGGTCCCACACTGTGGTCTTCTTCACCTCTGCCCATCCAAACCCTCTCATTTCATCTCGTCCATCTCATGTAATCATTGAATGTTTTCACTTTAGTCCTTTTACTGGGGTTACAGAGATGAATTGTTTCTAAATTTATGTATGTATCTTTTGAGAGGTAGGATGTCATGGATTATAACTAATGTCATGCCATTAGTCTGAGAAACTAATGAAAACTGTGAATATCTTATTCAGAAAAAAAATACATAAACACATAAAATTTTGGATAATGTAATTTCATTGCATTCAAAATTTATTTTGCAACATAAACAAGATATGAAGGGTCAGCTCATGGTATGAATGTTAAGACAGCTGGATCCTGTATAGCTGACCATAGTTTGAGTCCTGGACTCACTGGCTTAAGAAACCTATTGGGCATGTGTGCGTGTGCACCCCGAATCTCAAAATCAGGGAGAGGCAGGAGAAGGGATTGTGGCATGACTATGCCCCACGGTGTTGCTTTCTCACTTTTTCTTTCACTTTGTCTTTTCCTGGCTAGTGCCCATGCCCTTGGGGGGCAGGGATACACAACTTATGCCTGTATTACTTATTTTTCATGAAAAAAAACCTTTTGGTGAAAAAAAAGTTATTAATGCTGTTTACAGACTATACATTACAACTTAAAGGTTTTCTGAGTCTTCAAAATGGTATGTATAGTTTTTTCCTATGGAATAATGGTCATGGCTTTGTCACCTTCTACTAAGTTGTAAAAAAAAAAGTGCTTCATTCAGCTGTACAAAATTAAATGGTTACATATTATCTTCTAGTCCAGAATAGCAACAAAGACTGCATTTTGTAGCAGTATTCATCCTGGTGACTGCCTTTAATGGACAGAGTTCCCCACTTTCATGTAACCCCAACATCTAAGACATCAAAGAAGCCGTGAATGAGTTCCATGAAATCTAATTACTCTAAGTGAGAGTTTTCATTTTTTTAATGAATCACTGGTTTAGTTGTTTTTTTTTTTTTTTTAGAGAGGTTTTCGCCGTAGGGCACATGTGCTCACCAGAAAGATAAAGAAAGAGAGACAGAAAGCGAGAAATCAACCCCCCCAGGGGGGATGGCTACACCGAAATCCCGTCTCTTCCATTCTCCTCTCGGGATCTTGGGCATGCATTCACACACACCTGGCAGGAGTTTAAGCCACTGGGCCCAAGACTCAAACCCCGGTCGACTACATGGGAGTCCAGCGACATAGCCATTACGCCAACTGCTGGTCCCAAATCACTGGTTTAAATATTAAACAAGCACTTCAAGTTACAATCTTTAGAATATATACAGTAACTGGCTTTCATTTCACTCAGTTACAGAACTTCCTGAAGAGACAAGCTCCATTAAAAATCTAACTCTAACTGTTTTTGGAGCACAGTTGCATTTTGGGATTAAAAATCCCAAAAGTCCACAAAAGTGTTTTCTAGAGGAAACAATTGGGTTTTAGGCAACCATAAATTTCATTAGTCCTGATTCTGCTGTTGTAAATTTTTCTTCTATTCATATACCAGTCTCTCTTCTTACTTCCTCATGTAATCACCCTCTAAATAAAAACATTAATAATAGTTTTTATAAAAGGAAAAAGATCATTTTTTGAGAAATAAATTTTATTACGTAAATGACCGAGGGGCATGGATTAATTTAGTATGAGAATCAATGATGTTTAGTGTTGATCTTGTATTTTTCAGTTTACTTATTTCTTCCATGAGAGAGACAGTGAGAAAGAGATAGGCAGAGAAACAGCACCCTTCACAGGGTGTCGATGCTGCAATCCTTTCTAAGCTTCAGTTAGTCTCAGATAGTGGACGAGCAGGAATACTCAGGGAGGCCACTGGACTTGACCTGAAAACTTTCCCATGTAGGATACTTCGGAGTATCACATTTTTCTGCTGTACTACCTTCTGCCCCTTGTGTTGACCTAGTTTCAAAAGTTACTATCTTCAACTAAAAGGCTAGACTCTTGGATTAGTGAATTATCCCAGGACTTGGAGGTATTAGATATTTTTACTTGAAATGCTAGATATGACCATGATTTGACCAGGAGCGACGGTCAAGTGATGACACATTGTTGATCTATTGTACGTTATTGATCTACTATAGGTTATAGTGGTTGAGAGTGTGTATTTGAGAGAATGGGGGGAAAGCACGTGAGTAGGGAGAAAAAGTCTGGAACAAGACTGCCCGAGTTTAAATTCCACTGCTACTCCTCACTTGCTAAGTAAATTTGAGCAAGTTAATCAACATTTCTATGCCTCAGTTTTTCCCATCTCTTATGGGAGTAATAAACCCTACCTCATAAGGCTTTTATGAGAATTAAATGAGTTAATATATTTAAAGGTTTAAGATGCTGTCCAGTACATTGTACACACTCAATAAATGTTGATTACTATTCTTTAATTTGTGAATTTTTATAAGAATTTTATATTTTAGGTATTCAGTACACAGCATACCTTTTACCACTCCCTTAATTGTACCTTGAATAGATACTATTGACTTAGATTGGACCTTTGGATTGATACTCAAATTATCAAACCAAAAGTCTACAATAGGTTTAATCATTAAGTCCAATTGACTAGCTCAATATGGAAACAGAAACAGTCCCAAGGACTGCCATATCTTCCTGCTTTTGCCTTTCAATATTTATGCTGCACTGCCTCATCATAGGAGTAGCTTATGAAAAATATTTAACTAGTTAATTGAAATAGTTAACCACATAGTTAATATTGGACAATATTTACCTTCGATAGTGACTACACTTTATGTATTATATTTGTATACATCTTTTTTCTTAACAAAAAGTTTCCTAACTATCATCTTTTTATTTATGATTTAAGTTTATCCTCACCCAGTGATTTCACATTCCTGATCTAGAACAAATGAGTGATATCTGGATTTTAAATTCTAGAAGACTCAGCCAGACACTAGAAAGGGTCTCCAGGTGAAATTTCTTCAACAAGGGAAAGATGTTTTTATTCCCCACTTGTTCAAACTAGACTTTCCAAAACACATTCTAATTTTGTATATTTTAGAAGAAATTAATATTTTCCATTTGGAGTATTAAATATTATTTTATACTATTTTTTTAAGAAGCATAAAAGAAAATGTGTGTCATATATGTTCTGTATTTAGTTTTCAAGAGGTGTAGTGAAAGTATTGAAAAATAGGGCTAGGGCTACTATTTCTGGAACTATTACTCATTATGGTTCAAAAGAATGTAAGGAAATATTATCATACTGATGTTATAAAAGAAAAATGCTATGTTCCACTGTATGAACCTCGAAGTGAAATGAAACCAGTGCTGGCTGTGCCTGGGGTGAAGACAGAGCTATGAGGAGGAAGCCAGAGCACTTGACTAGTGACAGGGAGATCTGAGTCTAGTAATGGGTCCGCTACCACACACGACCTGATCTGGAACAAATTGCTCAGCTTTTGTGTAGAATTAGTAGAGTAAAATAACAAATAGATAATTTCAGTGTTTTTTTTTTCTTTTTTATAATTATTTTATTTAACTCTATTTATTTATTTATTTATTTTAATTTGACGAGAAAAAGACAGAGAGAGAGAGAAAGTGAGAAAACAAGCTGCCAAGTCCGGGACTCAAACCACAGTCAACCATGTGGAAATTCAGTGCCCCGACCACCATGCCACCTGCCAGGCCCACTTAATTTCAGTTTTTTTGAGTCCATAATTCTAAAACTTAGTATATAATATGGATAAGTCACTTAATGTTCTAGGCCCGACTTTATTGATAGGAATTACATCATCTTAGAGATACCAATAGTACTTTTGCTGTATTCTGTGGGTAATTTGGGCATTTCAGAGGCTAGAGTCTTGAAGTGAGTAGCACACAGTCTTAAATAGGCAATTATGACGGAGGATAATATTCAGCTTGCACTAAATATCCCCAAAATACCAATCACAAAGAAGCCACTCAGAATGCATTTGTCTCTAGTCCATTCTGTTGCTGATAACAGAAATACCTGAGATTGGGTAGCTTATAAAAATAGAAGTTTATTCAGTTCATGGTTGGAAGGTCCAAGGTCCAGGTATCACATCTGATGAGAGGGTTTCTGGCCCCATTGCAACATGATGGAGGGCAAGAGCGAGTGAACCTGTGTCTGCATGTCTCTGTTTTGTTCTCATTCTCTCTCCTTACAAACCCACCAGGAGGCAATTGTGGGGTACCTGCTCTGATAATCTTAATTCTAACCTTCTCCCAAAGATCCCACCTTTCAAGGCCCAAGTCTAAGTATTTTTCCTCTTAATTCTTAGGTATAATCAAATCTGAGCACGTTAGTTTTGGGGGGGGCACATTCACATGATAGCAGTTACCTCCCACTCAACTGCATTGTGCTAGCCTCTGGAGCTACGAGTCATGAGTCTTGTTCTACAGATCATCTGAAATACACCTCAGTGACAGCTGTGCTATATAATGACATTTCAGTCAATGATGGACTACATACATGATAGTCCCATGTAAGTATACCATACAGCCTAGACGTGCAGTAGGGTCTCCCATTTAGGATTGTGTAAGTATGCATCGCTGTTCCCATGCTGAAACCACCTAATAGTGCATCTCTCAGAACATATCCACATTGGTAAGTGAATTTGGCTTACAGTGAAAAGACAGAATGATGAAACATGGGTAGGTCTTCATCCTGCATGTAAGTACATGGAAGTTATGAATAAATATAACAGTAATTCAAATAGATGAGCTGATTTTCTTTCTCAAAGGGAAATCCCAATGGTAGAAACAAAAGATTTTCAGCCACCAGATCAGTACTTGAACTACAGAATTGGTGAAATGGGATCCAGCACCTTAACCACCACCATGCCACCACTGGCCCGATTTGCCACTCTTTTTAAACGATGTTTACATCTATGTACATGAAGCTTATTGGCCTGTAATTTTATTTTCTTATCATGTATTTGCCAGATTTTAGTGTCAGGGTTACCTTGGAATTATAAAATAATTTGGGAAGTTTTTCCCTTTGTTTATGTTCTGAGTTAATTTAAGATTGGTATTATTTTTTTCCCCTAATTTGCCAGTAAAACTGTCTGGACTGGTAATTGCTTGCTCTCAAAGTTTTCTCCTTATCTTTGATTTTCAATAGTTCTCATGTTGTGTGAGGTGTGATTATTTTCTTGAGATTATTTTGTTTGTGATATGCTGAGCTTCTTGGTTCTGTAACCTAAAGTTCTTAACCAAATGTGAGGAATCGTGACCACTATTTCTTCAGATATTTTACATGCTGTACTCCTTTCCTTCTTGTCTTCTGAGACTCCAATCATATAAAAAACATGCTAGACTGCTTCATATTGTCCCAGAGGTACCTGAAGCTCTGTTCATTTTTTAAAATATTTTTTTCTCATCAGGTTGAGGGTAATTTATTAAAAAGTTTACTTACTAATTTTCTCTGTGACAAGGAGAGAGACAGCGTCCCCAATGGGATCTTCATGCAATGATTCCCCAACCTCCTGTCCCCAGCTTCAATGAGCCTCAGATTATGGGCAGTGCATGTCCTATGTACAGGAAGGCCTCCAAATGCTGATGCAGTATCTCCCCGAGTAAATGAACCCCACAGATCATCATATTCTACCTCTGTGCCACCGTTCGGCCTCTTGAGGGTGATTTATACACAGATTTTGAATCGCCTTTTTATATGGCTCCCTTATTCTGGGACTTTCCTTCCATTTCCACTTGCTCACGTAGCCCTAAACAGTATCCTCTCTCACCTTAATCTGTTACGTCTGTGCCTTTCTGCTTGAGTTTCATCCCCCTTTGCCATGTACACTGGGTAATGCCTTTACTGGAAAGACTGTATAATCTCTTTTTCTCAGGAGATTCTAATCTGCTTCATCACAATGTTGTGTCTTTCAAACACAACTTAAAAAAAAAAAGAAAAAAGAATTATTTATTTAATTTTATTTATCATTATGATTATTACTACTATTATTTTTAATTTGCTACAAGGTACTTGGACTCAAAAGAAAGAGAGAGAGAGTGAGTGAGAGAGAAGTAAAGTGAGAAAGCCAGGTCTGAGACTTGAACCATGGTCAGCTGTGTGGGAGTCCAGTGCCTTAACCATCACACCACCCACTGACCCCCAAATATGTCTTCTTAGTATCTACATAATCTAGTAAGCCTTGTACACCTTATGTCGATTTTCAGTGTATATTTTTGTTGATGGGGTATTACGGAAGATCTTTCTCAGCAATGATATTCTAAGTAATGGTTTTATACATAGGAATTAAATCACCACAAACCTGGGGGGTCATCAGGTGGTATGGTGAATTTTGATCTTTGATTTTGAGACACTACTGTTGGTAAAATCAAAGCACTAATTTAATAACAACTCTTCAAGGAAATAAGAGAAGACAAAAACCTTAATACACATGTACTTGGATAAGAAGAGGCACCTTGATTTCAGACAAGGAGCTGGACTCCCATATAGCTGACCATGGTTCGAGTCTCGGATCCAGTGGCTTGAGAATTACATTGTGTGCATGTGGAGGAGAAGGGATTGTTTTGTGGCCATCCTCCCAGGGGTTGATTTCTCACTTTTCTTTGTCTCCCTCTGGTGAGGACATGTGCCCTATGGCAAAAACCTAAAAAAATAAAAAGTAAAAAATAAATCACCACAAGCCTGAAAGGAGAAACTAATCATGTACTATTGTGTTTATTTTTCCTTTAGAAAAAACTGATCCCCCACCAAGTGCTCCTACAGACTTCTGCAAAAATGGTGGAGCCTGGGAAAATGGCAAATGCATTTGTACAGAAGAGTGGAAAGGGCTGAGATGTACAATCCGTAAGTCTTGGGATAATATTAGGGTTTAAGGTTTAGATAAAGACAGAAGCAAAAACTTCTGGAAACTTCCACTAATGATTCTAGAAATAATAGATATAATGGTGATGGTTTTAAGACATGTTTATTAACCTAATAATAAAAGCTGAGCTTTCTTCTAGAGCTGTTTACCTGAATATTCAGTATACCTTGTCTGTTTCTTGACTGTCAAGTTTATCTTCAAACTTACAGTTACATTTCCTCTTGGCTTGTGTTTAATACAGGGCACTGGGTGGTATGGTTACCTCAAATCCTTTCAATTGGTGACATGTCATATTATCCATTTCAAATATTATTACTTTAACATATACACCTTGTCTGAAATCAAGGTGCTTCTTCCCATCCAAGTACATGTATATTAAGGTTTTTGTCTTCTCTTATTTCCTTGAAGAGTTGTTATTAAATTAGTGCTTTGATTTTACCAACAATAGTGTCTCAAAATCAAAGATCAAAGCCATTTATTAATCTGAGGTTTATTTTCCAACACTCCACATACCTCATACTGTCTACTTAGGATCCAGAGCCCTGGAAGCCCATTCCTCAAAATAAAATTAAAATTTTTTCCTTTCCTGTACTTCCACCAGCTACTACATTCCAAATACTCCATGATATTGGACTTTTTACTTTGACTCATATCCTCATAATTCCCTTTGCTACTATGGGCTCTATGTTTTTATATACTGCTGAGTGAAGCAAGCCAGGCTATGAAGGAGAGATATTGTATGTCCCCACTTAATATATATCGAGTGTCAGCACTCTATGACTGAAACTGATTGACTAAAGGATGTATAAACACAAAAGATGGGTGTGAATGCCAGATGTGGTGTGTGTGGAGGAGTGGAGCCTGGGGAAAGACATTTGAAGGAGGGGTATGGAGACAGAGAATGACAGGATGGGGAGGTAGTGGTGTTAGCTCTTGAAGATATTTTGATCAACTGGACTGGGGAGAAATGTTCGTATATTGAAATGTTCACTTTGTAAGCTAAATAATGTGATTGAATATATTAAAAAAATGAAAAAAAATTATTTTTTCCCTTTCTTCTTTCTTTTCTTATTTTTTTAAACATTCAATCACTTTACAACATACAAAACAAATTTTCCCAGCATAAATATGCTGCATAGTAGTCCAGTCAAAGATATACCATATACATTATCATCAACAGATAATTTTCCATTTTTGTGTCTGTTAGTTTGCTCCTTTTTCCCCCCTTGATTCCCTCCCTTCCACTGTTCTCCCCTACCCCATAGCCCGTCCTTCTCCCACACTATCTTTAGTATCCATAGTTGCTCTTTGTGCTTTTATACCTTCTAATCTTTCAGTTTCTGCCATAAGTGAAAACATCAATATATATTGGATGGAGACATACAATGGCTCTCTTTCATAGTCTGGGTTGCTTTGTTTAGTGGTAAATCTTCCATATCCATCCACTTTCTATAGTGCCAGGGTCTCATTGTTTTGCATGGCTAAGTAGTATTCTATAGTATATATGTGTCACACTTTTTCAATCCATTCAGCTGTTCATGGACATTTGGGTTGGTACCAAATCTTAGCTATTGTGAATAATGCTACAATAAATATAGATGTGCAAGTGTTTTTCAAACTGATTGTATTCCCATACTTTGGGTAGATACCCAGAAGTGGAATTGCTGGATTGTATGGTAGTTTTTGAGAACCCTTCACATTATTCTCCACAATGGCTGTACTAACTTACATTGCCACCAACAGTGTAGGAGAGTTCTCTTTTCATTGTACACTTACAATTCTTCTTCTTTTTTTTTTTTGATATTAGACATTCTCACTGGGGTTAGGTGATATCTCATTGTGGTGGTTTTGATTTGTATCTCCCTTTATTAAGTGGTGCTGAGTATTTTTTCACATGCCTTTTGGCTGTTCATATGTCTTTCTTGGATAGTTGTGTGTTCAGTTCATTTGCCCATTTTTTTTTTCTGAGAGTTTTTTGCTATAGGACGCATGCGTTCACCAGACAGACAGACAGAGACAGACAGAGAGCGAGAAATCACCCCTCTAGGGGAGATGGCCATGCCACAATCCCCTCTCTTCCGTTCTCCTCTTGGGATCTTGGGCACGCAAGCACACACACCCGGTGTGAGTTTAAGCCACCGGGTCTGGGACTCGGACTGCGGTTGACTACATGGAAGTCCAGCGACATAGGCATTACGCCAACTGCTGGTCCCACATTTGCCCATCTTTTAATTGGATTGTTTTTATTTTTATTATTTATTTATTTATTTATTTAGTGTATAAGCTGCTTGAGCTCCCTGGATATTTTGGTTATCAGTCTCTTATCTGAGGGAGAATTTGCAAATATATTCTCCCATTCTGAGGGCTATCTTTTTGCTTTAATTATTTTTACTTTTTGCTGTACAAAAGCTTTTTTTTTTCGGAGAGGTTTTTGCCATAGGGTGCGTGCGCTCGCCAGACAGACAGAGAGGGACAGAGAGACAGAAAGTGAGAAATCACCCCCTAGGGGGGATGGCCACTCTGCAATCCCTTGTCCTCCGTTCTCCTCTTGGGATCTTGTGCATGCACGCACATGTGCCCTGTGTGAGTTTTAAGCCACCTGGTCCAGGACTTGAACCACGGTCAACTACATGGGAGTCCAGCGACATAGCCATTATGCTAACTGCTGGTCCCCTGCTGTGCAAAAGCTTTTTAACCTGATGTGATCCCACTTGTTTATTTTTGGGACTATTGCTCGTGCTTTGGGGATCTTATTTCAGAAATCTTTGCCTACTACAATGTCTCTAAGAGTTTCCCCTTTGTTATCCACCAATAGTTTTATGGTTTGAGGTTTTATGTTTAGATTCTTGATCCATTTTGAGTAGATTTTTGTCAATGGTGAGAGATAGGGGTCCAGTTTCATTTTCTACAGGTGGATATCCAGTTTTTCCAGCACCTTTTGCTGAAGAGATTTTCTTTTCCCCACTGGATTGTCTTGTGCCCTTTGTCAAAACTCAGTTGGCAATATGTTTGGGGTTCTCTCTTCTGTTCCATTGGTCTACATGCCTGTTTTTATGACAGTAACATGCTGTTTTGATTGTCACAGTTTTATATTTTGGGGTCAGGGATCAAGATGTTTCCTACTTTATTCTTTTTGTTCAGTATTGCTTTGGTGATATAGGGTCTTTTATGATTCCAGACAAATTTTATGATTTTTTTCCAAATATCTCTGGTAATTTAAATTGGGATCACAATAAATTTATAGATTAATTTGGGTAGAATTGACATTTTAATTAAATAAATTCTTCCAATTCAGGAGCACGGGATGTCTTTCAACTTTTTGAATCATTTTCGATTTCTTTTTTTAGTTGTTCATAGCTTTCCTTGTAGAGGTCATTGACTTCTTTGGTTACATTTATTCCAAAATATCATATTTCTTTCTTGGCTATTGTAAATGAGATTGCTTTCTTCAATTCTATCTCAGTCTGCTTACTGTTTGTACATCGAAATGTTATAGATTTTTGTGTTTATTTTTGTGTCCTACTTTACTGCATTCATTTATCACTTCCAGGAAATTTTTTGTAGATTCTTTTGGGTTTTCCATGTACATTATCATGTCGTATGCAAATAGAGAGAATTTCACTTCTTCTTTATCTATTTGAATGCTTTTATTTTATTCTCTTGTCTGATTGCATTGACTTGGACTTCTAGTACTATATTGACAAAGAGTGGAGAAAGTGGGCAGCCTCGTCTTGCTCCAGAAAAGCTTTCAGCTTTTCCCCATTCATTATGATGTTAGCTATGGGTTTTTCATATAAGGATTCTATTGTGTTGAGAAATGTCCCTGTGTACTGATTTAAAAAACAAAACAAAACTATTTTTTTAAAACTTTGTTTATTTATTTATTTATTTATTTATTTAAATTTTGACCAGAGAGAGACAGAATGAGAAAGAGAGAGAGAGGGAAAGCGAGAAAGCAACCCACAAGTTCCAGGACTCAAGCCATAGTCAGCCATGCAGGAGTTCAAGTGCCCCTAACCACCAGGCCACCTGCCGGCCCTCATGTGTCGATTTTGCTGAGAGTCTTAATCATGAAGGGATGTTGTATTATATCAGATGCCTTTTTTTTGCATTGATTGATATTATCATAAGGTTCTTAATTTATTTATTTAATTCCATTTGTTATTATTATTATTATTATCATTATTATTATTTTAATTTGACTAGAGAGGCACAGAGAGAGAGAAGCAAGCTCCAGGTCTGAGACTTGAACCATGTTCAGCCACGTGGAAGTCCAGAGCCTTATCCATTATGCCACCTGTTGGCCCGATCATATGGTTTTGGTGTATGTTGAGCCTCACATTTTGTGTATGTTGAACCCTTATATTCCTGGAATAAAGCCTACCTGGGTGTGGTGTATACTCTTTTTTTTTTTTTTTTTTTGAGAGGTTTTTTGCTATAGGGCGCGTGTGCTCGCAAGACAGACAGAGAGAGACAGAGAGACAGAAAGCAAGAAATCACCCCCCAGGGGGGATAGCCATGCCACAATCCCTTCTCCTTCATTCTCTTCTAGGGATCTTGGGCATGCATGCACACGCGCCCGGCGTGAGTTTTAAGCCACCGGGTCTGGGACGTGAACCGTGGTCGACTACATGGGAGTCCAGCGACATAGCCATTACTCTAACTGCTGGTCCCTGGTGTATATCTTTTTAATGTTTCATTGGATATACCTTTGTAGTTTCTTGTTGAGAAATTTTGCATCTATATGTGGCTCTATATTTTTAATTCTTAAGATGCCAACTGCACTAATGCACTGTCTTTGATGATTTATCAGTGTTTATATCTCACCTCTACCTAAGCACAAGTTGTGTACATTTTAACTAGAACCTGTTACCTCACATACTAGTTATTTTATTGGCAGTAACTTAACCAGATAGGAACGTATGAAAGTTTCTGGCAGGCCAGTGAATCCTGTAACTATTACCCTTCAAATTATACTACATAGGGTCTGAACTTCAAGTTTTAGCTAGTTTCAAATTCAGAAAAAGTATAATTCATAATGAAAAAATATGTTTTCCTTCTTTTACAGCTAATTTTTGTGAAAATAGTACCTATGAGAACTTGACCTTTGGCAGAATTACAGTGGGCAAATATGGACCTTCCTTGCAAACATGTGGGGAAAACACTAAAAATGGTACGTGTGTTTTGAAACATGTCTTCTCTCTGGCCATAAGAATCACTACGCTGAGTCACTCCTGTCACCCTTCCCACTAGTGGCAGGTCCCTGGAAAAGGCATCAAGGAGAGTTTTGTGGAAGACCATAGCTTTATTTAGTGATGCCAGTGTTCAAAGTTTAAGTGGAATTTCACATAAGCCTTTTTTCTGAAAACCTGAGAATGGATCAATTGTTCATGAATTGCTTTTAATCCTTCCTTAATAAGTTTATTTTTTCAGCTTACCGTATGGCCTAGAGTTTGGTCAGGTTAACATTTACTCTTTGAGTTATGTAATTTGTCTGAATTTCAAAAAATTAGTCTAGATTATAGACTTACGCCATATCCACTTTCAGACTATTTTTTTAGGTAGAGATGCAAAACTAAGCCTGCCTATCATTGGTAGTCCTTCATTTCTTTGGTCATTTTAGTTATGTTTCTTGAAATACTCTAGCTCGAGGACCAGCAGATGGTGTAATGGTTATGTTGTTGGACACCCATATGGTTGATTATGGTATAAGTGCCTGACCTGGCAGCTTGAAACCCACACTAGGCTTGGGTGTGTGCATGCTCAAAATCTTGAGAGAATGGAGAAGTGATTGTGGCATGACCATTCCCCCTGGGGGGTGATTTCTTGCTTTCTGTCTCTCTGTTTCTCTCTGAATCTGGTGAGTGCACACAGCCCACAGCAAAATCTCTCAAAAACAAAACAAAACAAAACAAAACAAAAACTAGTTTCATACTACCCCTCTTGTACATGACTAGACTACCTTATTTACATAGAGATACTCTAAGAGTAAAGGAACAAATAATATGTTCCCTGATAATGTCCAGGATTTTGATGACTTACTTCATTTTAATGCCACATTGGGCATTATCTTCTGAGTGTAGCCTTAAGAAATTCATAGAACTTTTCCCCAGTAATTACTCTATTATGTCATTCAATTTTCCCTAAATGTTTACATATCTCTTGGTTGCATTAACTTTCACTTGACCAATCCTCTTTTCTCTATTTTCTGCAGAATTCCCTATTTTCTGCAGAAAATTTCCTCTTTCATGCTAAGTGGATCCCTCCAGAATAGAACCATTTATGCATTATTTACAAAAATATCTGATGGAACTACTGTCAATAATGACCCTGGAGAAAATTCACTTTTTATTTAGATATTTATTATTGTCATTTAAAGGGCTAAATGTTAAGCCAATATATGAATAGCTCTATCTTACATAGCTTTTTTATCTTAATTATTTAAAAAGATTTTTGTAGATCCCTGCCTATTTGCAGAATCCAAATTTCTTCTGTCTATATATTATGAGTACTCAAGTATTCATGCTCCTACACTTCATATAGGTCCTTCTAGCCTCTTGACTAAGAATTCAGAAGGTTGGACCAGCAGGTGGTGTGGTGGTTAAAATGCTGGACTCCCAATTGGTCAACCACAGTTCAAGTCTCAGACCTGGGGGCTTGCTTTCTCACTTTCCTTCTCTCTCTGGTGAGTGCAGGTGTCCTATAGCAAATTAAAAAGCAATAATAATAAGTAAAATAAAATAAATAATTCTAAAAATAGAACTCAGAAGATATAGATCTTCAACTGTACTGATATTTATAAAAATACTATATACACCATACTATGGTATATAGAGCATACAGTATGATATGCTATGGTACTTATCTTAATTTTATGTGTTTTGTATGCCTGAAATATTCCATAATGTCTTACAAAACAGATACAACTTACAAAACATAAATGTATACTATTAAATTAGAAAGCGTGGAAGTGTCAGTAATAGGCTCATGAAAGGTCATCACACTTGGCTGATACATACTACATTTTTTTTTTTTTTGGAGAGATTTTTGCTATAGGGCGCATGCGCTTGCCAGACAGATAGAGAGAGACAGAGAGACAGAAAGCAGGAAATCACCCCCCAGGGGGGATGGCCACGCCGCAATCCGTTCTCCTCCATTCTCCTCTCAGGATCTTGGGCACACACGCACATGCGCCTGGTGTGAATTTAAGCCACCAGGTCTGGGACTCAAACCACGGTCGACTACGTGGGAGTCCAGCGACATAGCCATTACGCTAACTGCTGGTCCCTGATACATACTACATTTTTGAGACAGAAAAAAAATCACCTTCTTTCATTAGTTTATTTTCCTTTTTTGAGCAACTACTGTGGTAAAAAGTAGTTATTACATTTACCTTTGAATTTCAGATTGAGTTTAGGATATTGCAAAATGTTGGAAGATTTGGTTTTAGTTTTATATTAATGATTACTTCTAATTACTCAATTTCATATACTCAATGATGAAAATACTTATTGATGATTTTTAAGTAGGAATATTCATGTTTGTAGGTTATACTGAAGAAAAGAGTCTTTTGAAATACGGTCACTTAACAGCTACTTCTATCTTTTTAATATGTTGGAAATTTTCATTATATCATGAAAGAGAGGTAGAGCCATCATATAAATTAAGAGTTTCTCCAACTTTATACTTTAAGTGTGGTTGAAGTAGTCGTCAACTTCACTGTTTCTAGTTGTGGCCTCAAGAAGCTGCTGCCTAAAGTTGGTCCTGAGAAAAAAAAAACTTCACCTTCTCATCAGTTGCACCTCAAATTTTGATTTTATCATTAGCAGCTACTTAAATATTAATTGTAGGGAGTCAGTGAGGTAGGGAGGCTCAGGTGATAATCCTAGGAAATAAACAAAACGACCCATCAACAATTTCCCGAGAGCCAACCAAATACCTGCTAGTTGCTACATTAGAACTCTGTCAGATGTTACCCAGATGTTCATAAAAAAGAAAAGATCAGTATAAAATTCAATATCTAGTAGGAATTTTTCATATTGTTTCTGGTTTCTTAACCTAGGATTCCTCCATCTTATCCAATTTGAAGGCCTTATGTCCCTAATTGTGTGATGATTCTTTGATTTTCCTTGTAGACATCAAAAAAGGAATCAACCTGACTTTTAAACTCCAGATTTAATAACCAAGACAGCAAGTGGATCTGCCTAAAATATCTTTGTAATAACTGTCTGATTCACTTTTCCATTGCTGTGTATTAGACCACCCCAAAATTTATTAGGCTAAAACAATAATAATTTAGATTTCTCACAGCTCTGTGGATTGACTGTAGCAGGTAGGCTGTACTGGAAGGTCCAAAACAATCTCACTCACATGTGTGGGGTATGGGTACTGGTTGTTGGTAGGAGGTCTCAGTTCTCCTGCACATGGCCTCTTCAGTTGGTGAGACCTGATTCATCACCTGACGGTCTCAGGACAGCATTCTATGAGGGTTGAAACTTCAAGGATTTTTGAGGCCCAAGCTCTGGAAACACACATTCTACCATGTTCTGTTGGTCAATGTAAGTCACAAGGTCAGCCTAGATGCAAGTACTGGAGGAATGGACTCTTCCTCTTGATGGAAAGGATGGCAGAGTTAATGACCAAGGGGCATGTGTCAGGGGCAGATGTTTCGCTGTGACTGTCTTTGCAAACAGTGTCTTTGTTTTTTCTTTCTTTTTATGAAAGCGGGCAACCCAGTTGCAACACGGATGTGCAGTCAGTCTCCATATGGAGAGATACAATTGCAGACTGTGACAATAGGAAATTGCGATGAAACTCTGCAACAGCTGGAAATTCAGGTAGGCCATATGGCCCATCCAATGGCAACTGAGATAAGTTCTGACTGTGCAGTCTCTGTGCTTCAAGGTCCTGATGGTCAAACCAATCCTTCTGAAGCTTACATATTAAAAATAATAAAAACTAGTAAATTGACGACAGCTGGACAATTGGATTTAGCAAATGATAATTCATAGTACATTTTAAATGGTCTCATTTTTGTAGCCCAGTGGCTGAAACTAGAGCCCTGATATTTGAGATCAGAGGATTTTTTTTTTTTGATGGTGTATGGGATTAGAAGGAAGAAAATAATTATTACCAAAGGCCCTCTGAAACAAGGCTGTATCCAACAGCAGTTGAAATGAAAAGTTTCCAAGAGCGGGTAAAAGGCCCTCTGAAACAAGGCTGTATCCAACAACGGTTGAAATGAAAAGTTTCCAAGAGTGGGTGAAATGAGAAGTACATTTGACTAGATTTGTTTTTAAGGCAGATTAAGGTATTTTCACTAAAAATGTACTCAAATGCAAATGCATAGAAAAACTAAACCCTGAGGCCAAGCAAGAGGAAAAGGAAGCAACTTACCTTTGTATAGGACCTTGTTTTAAAAATTTATTTTAATTTTATTTATCATCATCACTATTATTATTATTCATTTGTTATAGGGCATTTGTGCTCGCCAGAGAGAGATGAGAGAGACAGAAAGCAACTCACTAGGTCCAGGACTAACTCACTAGGTCCAGGACTCAAACCATGGTTGTCCATGTGGGAGTCCAGCACCTTAACTCCTGTAACCTGCTGGCCCTGTGTAGGCTCTTTTATCTGCTGGGCATGTATTAAATGCTATCTCATTTATTTATTTAATGTTTTTGTCATATAGCACATGTGCTTTCTGGAGAGAGACACACAGAGGCAGTGAGAGAAAAAGACTGGCCATGTTGCAAACCCTTCTCCATTCTCCTCCTGGGATTTTGGACATGCACACACATGGCTGGCTTGATTTTCAAGCCACTGGCTTTGGGTTCAAACTGTGGCTGACTATGTGGGAGTTCAGCACCTTAACCACCATGCCCCCTACTAGCCCCTATGTGATCGCATTTAATCCTTATAATACATGGGTTATTATGGGTGTTATTCCCATATTATAGCTAATACTGCTACTAATGTTTGAGCAGTTACCGTATGTCAAATACTGTGCTGAACATTTTATATATGCCATTTTATTATATTTCATTTATATAACACCATGTAAGCATTAATGTACCCATTTTACAGATCAAGAAAATGTGGCTCTGAGAGGGGAAGTATTTTGCCCAGTGACCACAGCCTAAAAATGATGGAACTGCTTTTGATTTTAAAGTCAACACTGTGTTGCACTGGCTCTCTAATCTCAGTAGGGAAGGATAAGGTTATGGTCAGGATGAGAGTTGGGTCTGGAAGTGGCTACCAACCACACAGGCTTTGACAACCACACAGACTGGAAAAAAAGACTTCAGATTCTGGAGTCTGACAAACCAGTGCGAGTCTTAGCTCTGCCATTACTAAGCTGTGTGAAACCTGGGTGAGATTCTTAACCTCTTTGAGCCTGCAAATGGGACAAATGTGTCTAACTCACAATTTTGTTTTGCATACTAAATGGGATGACACCTGTAAATGTCTGTTAAAGTATGTAACATATAGCAAAGACCTGCATATTAAATGAGAGTTATTTGGTGTTTGTCTACTGATTGGATATTGTTTCTGACTCTTCCCCAAGAGTGAATAGCTGTGATATCGGTTTGATTTTTGAAATGATGCTGCCATCTAGTGAGAATTAAGCCACACAGGCACATGAACACACACTTTGAAACCCAGCTCCAATAATGACAGTATGCATTAGCATGTCTTAGAGTTTCATAATACAAAGCCCTGAGACCAGTTGGTAGCTGGAGAGGTTGTCAAGGCCAGTACTCTCAAACTGTCTGTGCTAAAAAGCTAGTTAAAAGAAATTTCCAATCCATTGGAGACCAACCATTTTATAGAATGTAATGAAGAAAAATTACTGGAAAAATAGTATTAAAAATACACAAAATGCAAACCCATTTTTTAAGGTTATTAGATTCAATAGTCTTAAATTGATTTGTAAATTTCTTTTTTTCTTTTTTGGAGAGGTTTTTGCTATAGGGCTCATGTGCTTGCCAGAAAGACAAAGAGAGACAGAGGGTCAGAAAGTGAGAAATTACCATGCCACAATCCCTTCTCCTCCATTCCCCTCTCGGGATCTTGGGCATGCATGCACACGTGTCCAGCATGAGTCTAAACCACTGGGTCTGGGACTCAAACTGCAGTCGACTACATGGGAGTCCAGCGACATAGCCATTGTACCATCTGCTGGTCCCACTTCATAAATTTCTAACCATGTACTCTCAGTTCCTGTGCTTATCTCTCTCTGCTCTTTGTAACAATAAACCAACATTGGTCTGTGGATATACTTGATTAGCTCTGATATATGTAAGGTAGCCTGTTACAGTTAAACCAATCCCTGGAAGAGAGTAAAGGCTGGGAATACTACTGGACTGCATATACTTTGTTCTTTTTTTTTTTTTTTTTTTTTTTTTTTTTTTTTTTTTTTTTTCTTTTTTTGAGAGGTTTTCACTATAGGGCGCGTGTGCTCTCGCCAGACAGACTGAGAGAGACAGAGAGAAAGAAAGCGAGAAATCACCCCCCAGGGGGGATGGCCACGCCACAATCCCTTCTCCTCCATTCTCCTCTCGGGATCTTGGGCGCACATGCACACGCACCCGGCGTGAGTTTCAAGCCACCGGGTCCGGGACATGAACTGCAGTGGACCAAGTGGGAGTTCAGCGACAAAGCCATTACGCTGCCAGTCCCCCTATACTTTTGTTCTTTACAAAAAGAAGAAATGAATAAGAAAAATTGGGTGGGTGTGATATTCAGAAGATTGAGGCTCAGCTAAATTCCAACTTATTTACAGGTAGTTGCTTGCAAAGTGTTTAGACATAGTTGTACATTTCTAATTAATTTTAAAATCTATTTTCAAAAATTTTAAACAGATAAACAGTACAACAGCATTTATAAATATTTCTAAAGAAGCTCAGATTTTAACTTATAATGCCAATAAATTAACTGCTGAGGATATCACTTCTGCTACCAAAGTGGTTGGACAGATCTTCGACTCACCCGAAGGTGCTGAACAAGATCAGGTAAAACTCATGAGACTGTTTTTAAAAAGGAGGGTGGGGAAAACATTCCACACTCTACTCTTTTTTCCCATGATACAGCTTTGGGGGTAGTGTAAGCTGATTAGAAACATCTTGGTGAATACTCTTTCTGAGGGATGCTGAAAGAAATGAATAAGGACTCCTCTTCCAAATATTCTCTTTTGGATAGTCAAACTGATTATTAAACTTTAAATCTTCCAGAAAGTCTAGGAATAAATAAGTTTATTTACATTATTAATATTGTTACCAACTGCATTTGATTTCATTATCCCTATTCTAGTTTAAGTAGACAGTGTTCCACAGAACACATTTTGGAACATGCTATTTTAAACTGTGATCTTTTTCTGCTAATCATACTTACATTTTCCTCTAGGCTTTCTGAAAACTTTAAGCCTAATGTACATTTATGATATCATCCTACTAGGCCCTGGTATCAGAAAACAGGAAGTATATGCAACATTCGCGAATTGATAGAGCTTGGATACTGGTTAATCAAGGCTATAAACCACCAATATGGACTGACCGGTGTCTACTAGTTGGCTCTCAGCATGGCCAGAAAATAGTGACTCTTTGTAATGAGGTCTAGTTCCTTGACTTAAGCCTCCTAATTCATTACGCATACTTTGCCTTGTCTTGGTTTTCACTGCCATCTTATGTAGATCAAAAACTAAACCTTTCGATGCCACTTCATGATGGTGATAATGTATGATATAGGTCTTCTATAATGATCAGTGTGTTCTCCTTAGCAGGCAAAAAAAATCGCTGTAACAACAGTAAGTCAACTTCTAGATGCCAGTGAAGATGTTTTTCAAAAAGCTGCTGCTGACAATAATGATACCTTTACAAGGTAAGCACAATTTCAATTTGGAAGAACTTGACAAAGTGCCACTTTCTTTCCTAGGTTAAACACTAACAGAGGTGCCTTTCTCTCATGGATGCACTAACTGGCTGATTCCTCTGAAATGCAGATGGATGTCTTGGCTTTCTACTTGATCTTCAGTTACTAGATAGAGTGGTATATGTTGCCTTTTGGTTTCAGGGTGGTCATGGCCTGGGAGGAGTCACTGGGATGATTTAGAGTAGCACTTATTTTCAGAGCCTTATGTGCCATGGCCAAGGGTCAACCTTGGGCACAGTAGGAGCTTGTCTAATTCCTTTCTGAAAGCACAGAGCTGCAGAGAACATTAACATCACAGGACACACTTCAATCCACACATTCAACCCACTAGCCTTCAACCCACACCTCAGCTCTCTTTTCAAAACCCTCCTGTACTCCTGTACTCTGATTAAGCTTTCTTTAGGTTTTGCAAAGCTACATTGTTAAAAAAAAAAAAAAAAAAATTTCGACCTGCTTTCTTTGTTTTTGACTCTTATGTTCTGGATTATTTTTGATAATATATTTTTACTAAAACTCACATGTTAATACTTATTCATAGAGTCTCCTCACTTGGAGTCAATGATTTTACCTTACAAAGAGTTTTAAAAACACTTTTTTTTAGAGAGATATTTGCTATAGGGCATGTGTACTCGCTGGAGAGACAGAGACAGAAAGTGAGAAACCACCCCTCAGGGAGGATGGCCAGTGGCAATCCTCTCTCTCCATTCTCCTCTTTTTAAAAAAATTATTTATTTATTTTTACATTTTCCCACAAACATTTACTTTAAATATAAAACTTTTTTTTTTTGCTCATACTCCATAGTTCTTGACAGCTAATAAACAACTTTCAAAATTTCAAAAAGCTGAATTTTAAAGATAATTTTAAAGACATTTGCTATAATTTTGTTTGTGACTCTATAACAACAGAGACAGTATGGTTTTAAATGTTTTTGAGAAAATATTTACATGTCAGCTACTCAAGGTGTTGAAAGGCAAACACTCACCACACAAGTCACACATAAACCTTCTCAATTCAGCCCTTTCGGCCAACTATTCTGATACACCATCTGCTAGCAAGATGGTGTATTTATTTTTTTATTTTGACCAGAGAGAGAGAGTGTGAGAGAGAGAGAGAGGGAAAGTGAGGAAGCAAGCCACCAGGTCCGGGACTTGAATCATGGGGAGCCATGTGGGAGTGTCCAGAGCCTCAACCACCACACCACCTACTAGCCCCCTCTTTTGCAATCTCTACTGATTACAATGCTGGGCTGGAAAAGTCCAGGTTATTTTATGGTACAAATTCTTTCATATGGATTCTCTTTTATTTATTTTTACATAGAAAAATAACATTTATTAACTTATGCCATATAGTATATTGACTTAATTAAACCAAAAACTTAAAAACTTTTAAGTAAAATTTGTAAGATTACATTCACTCTGAATTTTATATCCTGGACAGGACAAAAGACTATCTTTTATTTAAAACAAAATGAAAAAGCAAACTGGCTACAAGTCCATTTTGTGGAAGAATGCAGACCAGCGGGGAGCTGAAGCTATGCCAGTCAGACACTGTGGCCCATCGGCTCTAGGTCAGGGACCAGTCCAATGCTCAGAATCGCTGGCTTCGCTATTAACACAATTGTCTTAGGATCCTAGTTATAAAAGTTTGAATGAAATTCCAAAGCCCTCAAACTGTTTTGGAGGTGGTACTATACTACTGGTTTGTAGCACATGCCAGTCTGAAAGCTGAAATCACTCTCCTGTTGGCTTTTGAGCACTGGCAGCATTTTCCCAAATTTTCCTTTTCCATTCTTCATAATCCTGTGTCAGATCTTCATCTTCCTGTGGTTTACATGGGACCTCTACTATGTGCTCTATTTCCTTTGCTGGGGGTTCAACCATTGTCTTCCTCTTCTTCTGTGGTAGAACAGGTAAATCTCCAGGTTCTTTGTCGATGTGCTGCCCAATCTTCTCTAATTGTTTATATAGTCAATCAAATACGGCTTTTTAAACACTAGATGTGGCTACCATTTTGTCTTTATCCACCTTTAGCTTTAGAATCTTGCGTGCTGAAAGTAGCGTAGCAGTGGTCAAGAGTGGCCTGGGTAAGTCAAGATCTACTTCTTGTGTCTGGGAAAGACTGGACTCATAGCTTAGCAGTATCCTTGAAGCCATGTTCACTGCCTCTGTGCAGCTAAACTGTACAGCCAGGTCTCTTATTCCAATATTTAAATTCAGGCCCAGTAAACACTCAAAAGATTTAAGACAGCTCTGAGACATCTTCTTGTTCAAACCAGAAAGTTTAACTAAATAAGCCCTGTCCACAGGGCACTTCATACAGGAAGCTGCGAGGTCCAGGCCCACGACAGTATTGCTGGTTTCTGTGGTATGTGCAGGCAGGCCAATAGACTTCACCTGGGACAGTCGAAGTATTCCTCTGCTGTCCTCAGCACCTCTGGCTTGGTGAAGGCCAGCACGGAGTCAGTCCTGACTCCGTGGGTCAGATGAGAACAACTCGCACAAACGGGACGCTATGAAACCTGAAACCCGCGGGAAGACGCCTTGCTGGCCAGTGAAAGCCAGGCCCCCACCCCTCCGGAGCATCTGGATCCGCTGGGACGAGAAATTGAGACTGTCCCCCATCCAATCCACGTCTTTCTTCTGCGCACGCGGAGCTCTCGTTCCCCAAGGCTGATATAGAGAACGTGGACTAGTGGCTCTTTCTCCTTCTACTCCTTCCTTCTCATCAAACACGGGGTATCCCTCCTGCTGTCGCCTGCCTGCCACCCAGCAATCTCCATTGCCCTGTGCCGCCTCCAATACTGTTGCCCGCGGTGGAGAGATCGGCTGGCACCCACATCTGTCAGTCTAGCGTTAAGTGGCAAGCCCCGTAGGGCTTCTCTAATCCTTTCTGACAGGCAGAAAGGTGTAGGCCCTCTTGAGATCTTCCTTAGTTCCATAGTTTTTTGGTTATATCTTCAGATATGACATTCCAGTCAAAGTCCTGCCAATAATATGTATTTTCAATTTTTGATTCAAGGCAACAGGTATTACTGAACTTATGCAAATAACATTTCTGCCACAAAATAAGAATACATACAAATATTTTTCAATTTCAGAGAGGTCAAGAAGGGAGAAAAGTTTATATTTCAATTTCAAGAAAAAAAAAATGAGCTGAACCTATCAGCTGAAAAGAAGACAACAATCTTTAAATCTGGAAAACAAAGCATAGAAGAAAATCAGTAATGTTTTAGTTAAAAGTCATAAAATTCTATTTCACCAGTTTAGTCTCATGTAATTAATCTCTCTTCTGTTAAATTTAGTGTTACTATAGTCCGATTTTTCCATTTAAATCCTGGAGGTTAATATTTGACATTCTTATTGATATTTCTGGACTTGTCCATAGCATTAAGTTGGTCATTTTCTTGGTTGCTTTTTATTCTCTTATTTCTGTCTGTGAGTCTTTAGTTTTCCTGGTAAAGCACTGCCTTCAGAACTGAAGAGCTGGTCTGGTGTTGGTAAATTCTTTCAGTTTTTATTTATCTGAGAATGCTTTTATATTTTTTTCCCATAAGAAGGGTAATCTTGCTGGGTATAGTATTCTTGGTTGAAAATGTTTTTCACTTAATACTTTGAACACATTTTCCTTGCTCACATTATTTCCAATGAGAGGTCTGCTGTTAGCCTGGTGGGATAACCTTTGTAAATAACCTGCCATTTTCTCTTGCCAATTTTAGTATCTTGTCTCTGTCTGTGGATTTGGCAGATCTGACTATGGTGTGCCTTGGAGATCTTCTTGAGTTGATTCTATTAGGGGTCCTTTGTATTTCTTGGGTCTGGATATTTGAATGACTCTCTAGATTTGTAAAGTTTTCTTCCAGGATTTCATGGAATAGATTACCAGTTCCCTTAGTTTCTTCACCTTCTGAGATACCAATTATACGGATGTTTGGGCACTTAATGGTACCTAGTATTTCTTGTATATTGTTCTCATTTTGGGATGATTATTTCCTCAGTCTTTTTGGTGATTTTTTTTCTAGGTCAGAGGTTTTGTCTTCAGCATCTGAAGTTCAATCTTCTGCATGGTCCAATCTACTTTTAATACTTTCAAGGGAGATTTTGATTTCCTATATTACAGCCTTCATCTCTATCAGCTCCATTTGACTCTTTTTTATGGCGTGTATTTTCAGATCATAGAACTTTCTCACCTCTTGGAACTCATTGTCTCTTTTCTCTTGTACCTTCTGGAATTCATTCTCTCTCATCTCTTGCATATCATTTAGTTTCGTCC